TATAGACGACTCAAATTCTTTGACAACAAAACAAAAAGACAATCCGATCGGTGAAAGAGTGGATGGCATCCCATCTCTGGCTCCGGCCCTCAATTGCATATATTATTTCAAATATCAGGCAATCGTTTCTATTTTAGATTATTATCCGTCACAACATATTTATGTTTATTTTACAAATAAAAATATTTTCCATATATTGAGGACAGACTTTCAAAAAACGTGAGCAAAAATAGACTACACATTGTATTTACACACATTGTTAGCATTTAAAACACTACTGATTTAACCACACTATTAAAGCCGTGAATATTATTTTAGTTAATGTAAAGTTAGCAATGAAAGCCAAAAGTATTACATAAATAGGTTTATATAAACTTAAGTAGAGCTCAAATCTGCATAAAAAAGTCTATTACACATACTGTGAGAGCTATTATTATTAATACAGAATAACTGTATTACACATCCATTTGAATAGAAAGTTATTTATAGTATTATACACTCTTTGCAAACGCCAACTCTAATGAAATTAATTTTTTTATTAACAAAAAGTCGTTTTAATAATGAAAATATCAAATTTACGAGTCATTAAGAGACTGAATGTCTACTAATTTTCTTTACAAAACCCGAAAGAAAATATTTTTATAAATATTGAGTGATATGTTTATAATCAGAGATTATATATCCGAAAGTTATTGTTAACATAATTAACACACAATTGTATTAATAATTGTTATTTTTACCACTTTTTAAATTATATAAATTAACTGTTATATAAATCGTGACATTAAACAGATCAAGATGTTAGATCAGTATACAGTACTTGTTACTTTGCAAAAAATAAAATTAAAAATAATCAATAATAAATTGCTGTAGTTTGTAAATTTAAATAAATAAATTTAAAATAGCTATAGTTTGTAATAAACATTTGTTTATTGTTTGTAAGAAATATACAAATATTAAATTTTTGTTGATATTAAGGAAATAATATGCTATTTATTATTTTAAGCAAATAATCCATATTTAGTAATATTTATATGATTTAAAATTATCGCCAAAATAATATATAATAATCTAATTTGCATTTCCATAAAATATTATATATTTATTACATAATCTATGCTTCATTAAATTAATTTTCCTATAAAATTATAAGTCCTTTCAATTTATGACTCATAAATAACTTTATAAAGCAGTAATTATTACAATTAATCATGTTAACTTTGACAATATTAATTTGCTTAAAAGCAAAAATGTCTAAAAATCTTACTGATTATTATTGTTAGAAATCTTACAGTGATTATTTATTGAGAATAATTATAACAATTTATATCTATTGGCTAATTTGAGCAGAAAATCACCACGGTACATTTAATGCTAATTTAACATGATTTAATTTGTCATGGCTATTATGTAAATGAACTTACTTAATTAGAATTTAGCACTTAATATAGCAATTATACAAATTTAATGATTTAACTTATAATGCATTGATATAAATAGTATTTATAATTATATTTATTTTATTTTAATTACAATAAATTGTTATATATTTACATATTGATAATCCATTATTAAATAAAAATGATTTTATTTATTTATAATTATATTATATACACAATACTTTGTATTACTTTGTGTCACAATTTTTATGAGTATTTCTAAACAAATGTAAGTTTTGTTTCTTCCACTCTAAGCGTTGTCTAAGTTTGCAATTAATTTTGACAACAATTTAATGTGTTTTAATCGATACTATAATTATGTTGTTTTCTCGCATTTATTTGCAAATAATAACTAATTTATATATAATTTATTTAGGATTTTATTTTTGATTCTCTCTAAAGTCTAAACTGAGACATAAAATTGTGATTTTTGTAATTTTTTAATATTTTATTATAAAAATATAGAAATAATTTTTCATTTATTTTACTTCAATGAATTATAATGAGAAGTAAAGCAACAAATGTTTGGAGATATACAATATTTTATATAATTTATTATTATTATTAATTCATATAACTCTATAAACCATAACATTGTATTTTATTAAACTAAAATATCAATTAATATATTTGTCGATACAATTGAATGCATATTAATTTGTTTAAATGTAAAAATAATTGTAAAATAACACAATTTTATAACTTTATTCATAACAATAATATTAACAAAAAGAAAATATTTATAAGATATGTAATTCAATTGACTCTTTTGAAAACAAACCGTAATTATAATCAATTAAAAGTTTATTTCTTTTGTGTTGCTTTACAATAGAAGAATTCAAATATATTTGTTGTTATAATTGAATTAAATATTAGATTAATTTTTATTTGAAATATGATTTTATATAATTAAAAATCCATTAAATCGATAGATTTAATCGCTTTATTTCTCCCATCGGTTATCAATAGAGATATCGAGAGCTAATTCTTGAGTGATTCTGTGGTCCGGAAGGAATGCCAGTATTCATGACAAAAAGCGACTGTTTTATCATGTATTCAATGGTCCGAATCATCGATTCTGTACCCAAAATGACACGGATTTGGATTGTCTTATCGTATTATATATGTTGCATAAATTCACAAACAATTATTTAATGGCATTGTTTGGTTCAATCAAATGATCAGTTGATGTCATTTATCATTATATAATATGTTTTCGTTTTTTTCTTTAAAATATATATGACTCCAGTTTTTTGCATTCAATCCGTCAGCCGTTTTATCAATCAATATATCATTCATTATATAAAAAAGATTAATTCATTTATATATTATTTGTTCAACGGATCAGTCGTTTTCAAAAAACATTATACAATATATATATTCTGTGAGCAAAACTTAATATATATTTTAGTTAAATATCAAACATTCATCTCTCGATGTAAACATATAGTGGTTTTTTGGTCTACAATATAATGATGTGATGCCTCACAGAACTGGAGCTCGAAATCCATTTAACTATTGGTGTCTTCTATTAATCACAGCATTGTATTGAATACTTCGAGTGAACGCGTTATCGTCTCGTCCTATCCGTCCATTCAGTCATTCATTTCATACAAAAACAATACAATTATTATTTGATTCTTTCATTTGTTATATGATTTGATGGAAACCAATGAAACGGTACTCACTTTAAGACAAGAATCAAGGAATTGATCGACTGTTACAAATCCATCGTTATTGAGGTCCAGTTTCTGTCACATAATATCAATGCAATTACTAAATAAACTTTTAAACGTTTCAATGATTTTGCTATACTTTTATACTAATTATTGTATTATTTGCCGATAACTTTAAAGCCAACACAAAAATAATACAATAATAGAGTATTGCTGTGATTACTAAACACTAATAATGGGATGCAAGCAATGAATGTGTAATGAATACTTGAAAAACTCTCTCGACGTGATCTCTGGACGTGTTTTCTTCGATCATAGGCTCGACTGACTTTCCCATCAAATCATAAATCGCGGCCACAATATGCGAGATCTCGTCTTTAGTGATCATTCCGTCGTTATTGATATCATAGAGACTGAAAGTCCAGCGAAGTTTGTCCTGAATTGAACCCCTGGCCAATACTGACAGTCCTATCACAAAGTCCTGCGAGAATCACAATAATTTCAGAGTAATTAATTGCTATACAATGACAGATCATTTGAATAATTAATTGTTTATAATATGTATGCGCACTAACAGTGAAGGTGATGGATCCGGTTTTATCAGGGTCAAATGTATTAAACACATAGTGAGCGTATTGGTTAGTGTCAGCGCCTTTGGGGAAGAATCGGGCATAAATTGTTTTGAATGTGTCCTCGTGTACGACACCACTCGGCGCGTCCTGTAATGCAATCAATACATCATTTCATTTCAATTTTATGATTTTATATTTGAAGTAAAAATTCTTTGAAAATCATTACAAAAACCAAAACACCAAAGAGGAGGGAATTTATAGACTTTTGTGCCATAAATACTAATGAATGCATTTTAAACGCCAAGAATATTCTTAATATGCTTTTCCTGTGGTTGTGTTTGAATTACTATTAATCGATTCCTTTAAATGAAATTCAATTCATTTAATTGATTAATGAATTTGAAGTCAATTATTTTTGCCTCAAAACGCGTTTTGAATTAATTTGTTAGACTTTTATGTTTGAAATTTTGGTCATGTTTTTGTTTTTCAGATGGTTTTTCCATTGAATTTATAATTATATAATATTATTTATATTTTTATAGATTTCTTAAATAGAAAGAATTTATATAATAAGAATATAAATTTCAATTCTGTTTCTCAAAACTTATAAAACAACATATTTTTTATTATTGGAAAAGAGTATTAAATTACTAAATCCAAAGACTTGTTTGCATTAAACAGTAAATTGATATCCATTTTACGCTTTAGATGTAAGCCTTAAAAGACTTAGTGTTTAAGAAAATAGAGTTTAAATTATTTTATGTGTTAAGACTTATGTGACTATTTTATTGACAAAACCATATTATATAATACTGTATACATATTTTTCGGTTTTATAGCTTTATTAGATGTCTGTATTGGGATATAAGTTATGCAAACGATTGTTACAAAACATAATTTCACTTTCAAAAGAATTTTGAATTATTTATGAATTGCTTTAATGTGTATAAAGAGATGATTTTAAGGGTAAGAGTGGTTGGGAGTCAACAAAGCGACTAAATTTAAGTTTTATGTCAAAAACATTGTTTTATTAATACGGTATACATTTTATATCAGATTTTGTTTTTATTGAAGCCAAAGATCACATTTGTTTCACTTTTCAATAAATGCCCTCAAGAAACACAAATACTGTAGGACGAGAGGGAGAGCTCAACATTTAAATACATTATTAGAATATGTATTATAATTGTAATAAACTATTTAAATATAAAGTTATGAATGTTTTATATCTAAAACTTAAATTTTTTGATATATTTTTAAAAATTGCAGATAATTAGACATATTAATATTTCATTACTAATTGGTAATAATTTTTATATAAAATTTCTAATGATTATATTTTAACCAATTTAAATTTATGTCTTTAATAATAACTCAATTTAATAAAATATCCGAAATAATAAATTTAAACGTTAACATATTATTGTGAACTTTATGTGTAATGAACTAATACAACAAAAACCAACATTTTATCATTGAGTATTAAAAACATCGATTTAAACATTCATTTTTTATATAAAAAACAACTTAATAGTAGAAAATAAGATTATTTACTAAATTTCAGTGCCTTCTTATCAGTCCTCCAAATGAAACCATTAATGACTTATAATGAGAAGTTTATAGAGATTTATCTCCATTTGAATACATTATATCAAAATTATATACTTTTTGAGAGAATAAGTGACAGAGAATTCACTTAAGAATCGACTGATTCTCAGGAAACAAAGGCAACAACAAAAAGTGCAACTCTTTTAGACATTATTTCAATTAAAGTGTTGGACAACACCTAATGATTGCAAACATTTTTCACTCAACATTTTATTTTCGGGTAAAACGAAAATTGGTTTGAAATCTTTGGACAAAATTGCATTTTATAGATAATTGGGAGATAAAAGAAATATATCGACCGATTCTTAAGTGACAATAATTTGTACCTAAATTGATGTCATCGTCGAGAAGAAAGTTATCAATTGATAAAAACCCAAAACAATTTGCGAGTTATTATTAATGGCTAATTGTTGTGATAGAGAGATAGGTCTGTATAGTTGACAATAATTTGTACCTAAATTGATGTCATCGTCGAGAAGAAAGTTATCAATTGATAAAAACCCAAAACAATTTGCGAGTTATTATTAATGGCTAATTGTTGTGATAGAGAGATAGGTCTGTATAGTCATACAAATTAATTAAGTTAAATTTAATTTTTGTGTTGTGACACCGAATACATTAATTAACTTTAATTTTACATGATATTAAATTATATAGATCAATTCATAAGACTTAATGAATGCATAAACACAATAACTATCTTTATCTTTATAAGGGAAGGGTTGGAAACGAAACGTTTCTAACGATCGTAAGAAATCTACAGAAAGTGTTGCATGGTAATTTATTTCAAAAATTAGCATGAATGTTTAGTAATGGTTATTGCTGTATAAATAACTTAATTCATTAGAATTTGTTAGCATAACAATCGGATTCCCAATGAAATTGAAATCTCAGACTAAATTTATTAATCATATTATTTAGGAATAAAGCGTCTAATCTTCGGGATTAAAAACAACCAAATTCGGGAAAATTTGGGAATTATAGTTTTATTCAATTTTAAGACAATAGTTATGCATTTAACATTTAACGTTTAGAAATGAATTATATTTGATAATGACATGAAATTTGATAATTTCATCTGTAAATCAATGTCTTTTTTAAACTTCACTATACTTATAGGCATTTTAATAAATAAATGAATAAACAAACTGTGAGTTCGCGTTTATCGCATATTATTTGATTAGATTTTGGTATTCGATTAGCATTTTATTAAGATTTTCGATGAAAAACTACAAAATATTTTCCAAAAATTTTATTTTCTGGATTATATTTCTTAAAAATAGACTGTTCGGGATTTTTTCAGAATATGTCAAAATCGGGAAAATCAGAACAACAAGACTTATATATAAATTGTATTTAATCTAAACCTAATGATATATAATTCCGGGTGATTTTGTTAACTATTTCCATTCGGAAAATTCCCAAAAAATGAGACACTTTAATATGAATCGTATGCCATAATTGGTTACCATCACTATTAAAATGTGAAGAAATAATTGGTTTCATTACGATTTGATATCATCTAAATGTTAATACTGTACTCATATAATTGTCATCATTAAATATTATATAAATTACAAATCAAATATTATGCATTTTAATACAGTATACCATCGCTAATAATTTCATTATAATGCAAATACAATTAAGAGATACTTTCTCCGAGAAATTTGGTGGAAATGTTCTTCAAAATAAAAAATATAAGGAAATTATATAACTCTTACATAAAAAAATGTTTGAATGTTATGCAGGAAAAAATATAACATAACTGTAATCGCAGTTTTAAAAATGCTTGTCATAAAAATAAAATTCAATATAAATATTGTCGTAAAAATATTTTATCCACAAAAAGAGATCATTTGATGTAAACTTATGTTTGCATAAAAACAGAATTAGAGCACAGAATTCATAAAACTATTTAATATTAACATTAAAAATGATTAAATACTTCAAAATTTTTTACGATTTTTTTTTGTTTCTATTGTGGATAAAGTTTTAAGTGTTGCGATGATTATAGCTATGAGTTTGTATTCACTTACAAGTAAATTGTTTACAAGATTTTAGTTTTTTGTGTTTAGACTTTGAATTAAATTGAATTGTTTTATGTATTGATTTTTTTTCGTGATATCTCTCTTAAAGACGGGACTAAATAAACACAAAATAAAGTCCAACAAAATTAAAATAATAATAAAAGCTAATTTCTTAGTCAAAGATATTTGTTTGCTTTTAATTAATTAAATNATTTAAACGTTAACATATTATTGTGAACTTTATGTGTAATGAACTAATACAACAAAAACCAACATTTTATCGTTAAAAATACCGATTTAAACATTCATTTTTATATAAAAAACAACTTAATAGTAGAAAATAAGATTATTTACTAAATTTCAGTGCCTTCTTATCAGTCCTCCAAATGAAACCATTAATGACTTATAATGAGAAGTTTATAGAGATTTATCTCCATTTGAATACATTATATCAAAATTATATACTTTTCAAGAGAATAAGTGACAGAGAATTCACTTAAGAATCGACTGATTCTCAGGAAACAAAGGCAACAACAAAAAGTGCAACTCTTTTAGACATTATTTCAATTAAAGTGTTGGACAACACCTAATGATTGCAAACATTTTTCACTCAACATTTTATTTTCGGGTAAAACGAAAATTGGTTTGAAATCTTTGGACAAAATTGCATTTTATAGATAATTGGGAGATAAAAGAAATATATCGACCGATTCTTAAGTGACAATAATTTGTACCTAAATTGATGTCATCGTCGAGAAGAAAGTTATCAATTGATAAAAACCCAAAACAATTTGCGAGTTATTATTAATGGCTAATTGTTGTGATAGAGAGATAGGTCTGTATAGCCATACAAATTAATTAAGTTAAATTTAATTCTTGTGTTGTGACACCGAATACATTAATTAACTTTAATTTTACATGATATTAAATTATATAGATCAATTCATAAGACTTAATGAATGCATAGACACAATAACTATCTTTATCTTTATAAGGGAAGAGTTGGAAACGAAAAAATCTAACGATCGTAAGAAATCTACAGAAAGTGTTGCATGGTAATTTATTTTAAAAATTAGCATGAATGTTTAGTAATGGTTATCGCTGTATAAATAACTTAATTCATTAGAATTTGTTAGCATAACAATCGGATTCCCAATAAAATTGAAATCTCAGACTTAATTTATTAATCATATTATTTAGGAATAAAGCGTCTAATCTTCGGGATTAAAAACAACCAAATTCGGGAATTATAGTTTTATTCAATATTAAGACAACAATTATGCATTTAAAACATTTAGAAATGAATTATATTTGATAATGACATGAAATTTGATAATTTCATCTGTAAATGAATGTCTTTTTTAAAACTTCACTATACTTATACTTGTAGTTTTAGGCATTTTAATAAATAAATAAATAAACAAACTGTGAGTTTAGCGTTTATCGCATATTATTTGATTAGGTTTTGGTATTCGGTTAGCATTTTATTAAAATTTTCGATGAAAAACTACAAAATATTTTTCAAAAATTTTATTTTCTGGATTATATTTCTTAAAAATAGACTGTTCGGGATTTTTTCAGAATATGTCAAAATCGGGAAAAATCAGAACAACAAAACTTATATATATTTAACTATTTTTATTTGGAAATTCCC